ATCTGGTGGATTGTGATTACTGCTCCTGGCGCTGTCGTGTGCCTGATAGCTCGTGGTTCACTCCAAGAATGCAAAGCTGAATAATCAAGGCAAGGAGAAGCTTGGACCCAAGCCATGTCAGAAAAAGAGTACAGGATACACCTTTTTCTATTTTTGTCTGTGCTTGCGTTATCAGCACATTTAAGAAACGTGAGTCATTTGCAATAAATCCGCGCTGACCCAAATTGTTTGCCAGACGAAACTGGAACAAATCCGACTTCTCTCATTTCATTTCCTTGTGATTAAGTTTTGTTTCTTCCAAGGGTTGTCATTAAAGGCCAGGTACTGAACACTGGCATGGAATACCAACGGCCAAGTACAACTTAATGATCCGTCAGGTTGAATTGGCCTTTTTTTTTTTTTTTTTTTTTTTCTGCCTCCGTGACAGTTTTAGGTCTCTCGTAAAAGATCCCTTTCGCTTGTCATTGAATATATTTCTTTTTTGTACTGTTGGAAATGTGATGCTTAAATAAGCGTCGTCGCCTCAGGTGGTGATTTCTTGGTGTTGAAGAATGTAGGGTAAATCTAGACATTTGTATGTTTTAATTTGACTTTTTCTGACTAAAATTACTACCATAAAGTGATGTATTTTCCTGCACAGTAAAACATGCTGCTGCTTGACGTCTCTGTCCAAGATTCTCAGACAGTAACGGATATATACATTTTTACATTTTGTCCACCACATTATGGTTAGAAGTAACTCGTCACCTCATCTCTCTTGCACCGACAGCAGTTGCGACTCCTGTGTTTAGACTTGCTCCTTGCCAGAGGCATGGTAACCATCTGTTGGAGGAGACTGAATCTCTCTATCTATGTCCTGTCAGACTGATATGTCTGGAGGAACCAGGGTGAGAACTTGACATTGGTTTTTGCCCATGTGAATTTTTTTTTCTTTTTGACATTTCTGGAGACAACAGTAACTGTTACATTGCGTAACGTGTCTGTTTCTACTGTATCAGTGTAGGTACAGTTAAGGTTTTGTAAGCACAACATACCAGAGCGAACAGAGTTTCTGCAAATACCTGACCGTCTGAAGGTGGACTACAGACTTTAGGGGACATTTAGTTTCCTGCTCGAGAATTTTGAGGAGGGAATTTGCATTTTTACTGTACTGAAATCTTTTTTTTTAACCCCGGTTTTCAAGCGTACTCTGTGTTTCTCTATTATCCTACAAACATCCTTGTTTTGGTGCAAGCTGCCGCACTTCCTCCTTGACTGGAGTTTGAGAATAGGAAGTGGCACATGTGTCTCTCTAAGGGCCTCTGGTCTCCAGTCTGGATTGGCACATTTCTCAACACATTACTGAGAGCAGGCGGCAGCAGGCCGTTCACTGTTGGTGTGTGGGCGTTGGAGAGGGAGGGAGTTGGAGATGTGATGGAAGTTGAAATTAATTTGATAATAAAGAGTGAAGTCGTGATGAGATGAAAATGTGACGACGGCCGTTCTCATCCACGAGAGAGAGAGAGAGAAGTGTGTCCACTGTAGTCACTGCTTCTTCGTCTGTTCAGCGGCCATCGTTTTTTTTTTTTCATCGTTTTCATGGTCACTTTCCTTCTTCTAACTTTGCCTCCGTCCACCCCGTATCTGTAATTCTCATTTCTTTCACTTAAATCTTTTCATCTTCATTGTAAGGTGTCCTTGGGTGACAGAAAATATTATTATACCGTAATTAAAAGATTTTGCCTCATCTCTCTCCCCCTCATGGCCAGACACAGACATTCAGTTTTCTCCTGCTCGGTCATTTGAAGATGACTCCCGGTCCTGAATGCAGACTATCAGACTAACTGAAAGTGGGCGGAGCCATCCGACTTACTTGTGCTACAGCACCTATTAGAACCGTTAGGACCTAAACATCAACAGCGGCCCTGTGTTCTCTGCCGGCAAAGTGCCTACACTACAGCCTTTGTGTCCTGCTCACACTTGCTACGAACAAACGCACATTTATTCCCACGGAGAGTAAAAGCCTTCATGCGATTGAAGACGGGCCCCTGAAAGATACCGAGATACCGACGACTATATCAGGACAAGGGATAACGTTTGCTTTTTTAGACTATTGATAGGCTTTTTGAGTGATGTTTTCCTGCGTTTATACGCTAACTGTAATAAACTATATTTTCTAGACAGTCGTGTCAGTAATATTTTATGGCATTGACGCGTACGCTGCTAAGACAGAGTCCTGGTCGAATGATATTTTTCTCTGGTAAAGCCATGTTAACTGAACCGCCCGTGTGCGTCTGTTATGTCTGATCAGCCAATTGGTTAAATAATTCACACGACGCAGAAATGACATCTCAGCGCCTCATTGGTCCAACCAAGCCCTTTGTTAACTTATAGACAGCAGAGCTTTATTTTAAATTAATCAATGATTATGATGTTGTTCAGACTGAGGTCATTCAACCAGAGAACGTGTTTTTACAAAACCAGTCCTGAAGAATTTGGCTTCTTGTAACCTGTGCTGTGAGGTTCCCTCTAATGCACATGGAGTTTCCACAGGATGTTTGGAAATGCTGTGGTTTTTGAGGACACGGACTGATAAAACGGTCTTTTATCCATCGTCTGCTTCGTCACTGGGCAACCCAGCTTTGTTACCTGAAGCATTCTGACACTTCAGTCACAACTACGATTCCGTTTCTATTCCAAATTTACACTCCTATGAATAACATGTCTTTGTTTGTTAGAAGTTCAGATCTTTTTTTTTCTTTTTTACCAACATTCAGTGGTTACATACTTGTGTTTAAATAGACATGTCTCTCTCTCTCTTTTTCTCTCTTTTTCTGCCTTCTGTCATTTCCTTCTCCTAATTTCCCAACATGACTCACAGACAAACCAAAACTGAGGTACACAATGCGGAGTTGCTAGGCAGTGGTCGCCGCATATTTGCTCCAATCCTCAAGTGTTGTCTGTACACATGAGCCAAACCTGCTCTTTTTTTTTAGATTGTTTGATTTTTTTTTTTTTTTTAATTAGTTAATGTTTTCATGTCACATTTGGGCCTAATGATACGGAGCTGAACCCATTACCACTGCTGGGTTTGATGATGAGTGGTTGACTAATGGTAGGTGAGTGTAAGCTTATTGTTGGGATTTGTTATAATTGTTCAGTCAGCAGCAGAGTATTTTCAGATACCGAGTCTTGATCAGGTACTTGCCTATCTGGAGTACTTGTCAAACATGGATTTTGGAAAAGAAAAATCCAAAAGTATTGATCACTACTTTCACTCAAATTCTGAAGCATTTTTCTTTACTTTCTTTCTAAATCTAAATGTACTCGTTAGCATTTCTAGTACCGTAGTTTCCTTGATAAAATGTCAGTTCGTGTTGGAGGAATTGTTATTAAAGTACACCTTTAGTGCCAGATGGTATCTCAATACCAGGTGCACTGCAGTAGCAAACCTTCTATGCAAACATGCAATGTGTTGTTTGTGCGATGTACACAATATCCTCTAACATGGTCCTCCTACGGCGTTATAGTTTTGGAAATTTTATGCAAATCTTCCCTTAAATGTTACTGAAATATCACTTATCGGCTCAGTTATCAGCTGGACTTCACACATCACTCGATACTAACCTAAGAATGACCGGTCACCCAGGTGCGTATGTGGGCTGCCGTCTATTTGTTTATCAAATCAGCGGTAGCACCGACATACACACCAAGCTCGGCCACTTACCTGTAACTGTGGAGAACTTTGTTTGTGGGGCAAACTTCAAAGGCCATGTTTACTGCAATTCAAACTCTGTCTCTCTCACTCTCTCTCTCTCTCTCTCTTTGTTTGTGTGCGTGTTTGTCAGCGCGAAAATTAATCAAGTTTCAAGTGACAAAAAAAATGACAAGGCAGCAATTGTTTAGATCAGAGAGATTCTATTTTTGTTTTGTAATATTGTACTTTATTATTAGATATTTAAAACCTGTCTGGATTTTTTTTTTTTTTTTTACATATACAATATAGGACCCGGGGGATGCAAAGCAGCCTACTTACTGTATTTTTATAACACTTTCCCTTCTACTTACTTGCCTGTATCCTACAGACTACACTGCAGATGGTTGATCGTATCATCGCAGTTAAATATGTCTGTAATGTGTAGAAACTGTAAGTAAAACTAGACAACGATAACACAATCTCTGAAGGTTTTTTATTGGAAAATCGCTTCTTGCTTCGCGTTGTTGACTTTGTAGCATCTTTCAAAAGCCGTCTGTTTCACACGTTCTTCAATTTTTAAAGCACGCTGTCCATTCAGCTCATGTCGCGACTCAGAGCTTCAGTTATAGGATGAGCCGAGGATGACAGCTGTCTTTGGAAACTATCTTTTGCTCCTTCCTCCCCCTCTTCTCCCCCCGTCTCCCCGTCCCCTGGGGGGGCTTCAATGTTCATGTGTTTGCCGCACGCTGCGTATTGGTGTATTTCGAGGGTCATCCTAGAAATACGCCGCCGTGGGCAAGTTCAAATGAAGAGTGCACTGATGGACATTTATTTTATGTGCGTGTAGTGACAGATTCCTTGTGAGAGATGAGCTCCTCGTCGCTGCCTCGGCCTGTTAAAAAAAAAAAAAACACATCACACCAGACGTGAAAAAAGCCCTGGTTCTGTCAGTGCAGCATGTACTGTGTTATGTTGCAGGTCTTTCATCCTCTGACCATTTTACACTGGGTTTCTAGGTGATGATAATAAATAAATAAATAAATAAATAAAGCACTAAGCACAAGCCTAAATGATATATATTTAGTGCCGCAAGTTTCATATTTTGATTTAGATTTTTTTTTTTTCCCCCGCTAGTGTGACACATGTTTCTTTTTCACTAAGACATCACTTCATCTCTTGTTTAGTCCAGACTACAGACGACCCAGAGTCTTGTGGTGAGAAAGACGGCGGTCCAGATGTTTGGCAGCCACGCCGGCTGCCTGTTTACATTTCTGCTCTGGCAGCAGCATATTTTTAACCTCTGCTGTTTTTGTTCTCCCTGCAGGTGCTGGAGAATCAGGGAAGAGCACCATTGTGAAGCAGATGAAGTGAGTTGACTACTAATTGTTTGACCCTTCCTCCCGACATGTCTGAAACAATGAGCGTATATTTAAAACAGCAGCAATACATGCATGAGGTGTAGTCATAAACACGTTGTTTTTGGAGATTTACCTTAAAAAACTGCATTGGCATCGTAATAATAAATGAACTGTTTAGAAGTGTTTAATTGGGTGATAAATAAAACGCAGGCGTCAACCTCTGCAGATATATCTCTACTAGGTTTAAAGTATTAAAGAGGAGCAATAATTCTTCATCTTAGGTCACCTTAAAAGATATTATGGGACTTACAGGAAAAATAAACTTTAAGAAATAATATTTAACCATCATATTTGCAGCCCAGCCCTAATTAAAAAGAAAATTCCTGTGATGCATAACTAGCATAAAAAAATAACAACAAACTAAAATGTAAAAGTTTTAAGTATTTTCAAGTATTTGTTGCATGGTACTGCTTTCATTTTTAATGCAACAAACTAGTGTTAAGTCCCAAGGACGCACCTCAGGTTAAACACAAAGAATGAACACACTGACAATAATAGACTCTTGCGAAACACTTTTTTTTTTTTTTTTTTTTTTCTTTTGCTACTTTACTGATAAATACACTCGGCCGAGACGGATCACGACGCTGTTGCTATGAATGTGTCAATTATAGAAGGAAACACAAAGACAGGTTCTCACTCTGATGTTTCCAGATTTCCAACCAGGAACTCAAAGACGGAGCATCATGAGGAGTTGTTCCCTTTTTTTTTTTAGATTCCTCTTTTCTAAGATGATCAAATAAAAACTTTTCAGAGATTTTTCCGTTCTTTGTTTGTGTTTGAAGGTATAAATTATTCATCGTAAATTGAGAAAAGTCTCCGTTTTTTTTTTTTAAGTTCTTCTTGTTGATTCTAGACCAATTTTACTTGGAAACAAAAAAGCAGAATGTACTATTATTCTTTTTTTTAATGAAAGAAATAAATCAATTTTTAATTTAAGAAAATCTATGTGTCAGTTTAGCTAACATTTTTTTATTTTATAAATGTATTTTTTGGAGTCTTTATATTTTCTACTGGCTGGCAACATTAAATTTTTTTTTATTTTATAAATGTATTTTTTGGCGTATAATTATATTTTCTACTGGCTGGCAACATTGAAATAAATTAATTTAAAATAAAATTTTAATTTACTGTTTTAATTAATTCATACGTGTGGGCACACTTTTTTTGTTTTGTTTGTTTTTCAGCCGTGTTTTTGCAGTGCTTCGCCGTGCAGCCCCCTTTTTGAATTTTAATGAGTTTCCATTCAGCACATGACACAAACCAATAACCATCTTGTCCATGACAGATTAGTTCAGGTCGTGCAGTTTGGTTTTCAGCCCAGAAACCTCACTCTCGGCCCAGTGGGCTGTCAAACACACGACACTTTCTCATTGTTTCACTCTCAACGGTGTTTGAAAGTTGGTAAATATTTGCTTTAGTGGACACAAAATGCCAGAATGTTCCCAGTAACAGTTGGATTTGTAAACAGAAAAAAAAAATCACTTGTTAAAATGGCAAACTTTAAAGTCCTGTAAGTGCAGTATTACCATCAACAATTTAAATTTTTGTTACATTTTCTAAAAAGTAAACATTCAAAACTTTAATTTAAATTAAATGAAAAAATGTTCAAACCTTTTTTTTTGTTACACATGAATCATTGATTCCTACATTTTAATAAAAACTACTAACTAAATAAAAAAAGCCAAGTTAACCAGTGGTTCAAATCACTATTTTATTTCCTTTAATGTGGATAGAGTTAATTTTTGGGGTTTTATTATTCTAATATCTTTTTGTGAAAATTATTATCACCTTCAGACGTGTGCAGTGGTGGAGATTTTAACACCTTTTCCTCCACTCTGTGTTTTTTTTTTTTCCAGGATTATTCATGAGGATGGATACTCAGAAGATGAGTGTAAGCAGTACAGAGCCGTGGTCTACAGCAACACAATCCAGTCCATCATGGCCATCATCAAAGCTATGGCCAACCTCAAGATTGAATATGAAGAATCCACCAGAGCGGTACGACTGTCTGTACAGATACAGATATATTCACACATTAGCTGCTGTTGAAAAATATATCTGGTAATAAATGTGATTCCAACTCACTCACATTATTCCTCTGAGCCACTGCTGATCAGTCCAGAAACTTTTCAAGAACTTTTTCCTCCTGCAGTGATGGTTAACTTCCGTTACACCAGATATATTATCTGAAGGATATTGAGCTGCAGCAGCTATAAATTACATGGAAAGTAAAAAAAAAAAGAAGAAAAAAAGTGTTTTTCTTTCCACTCCGAGCCCGTACAGTTCCCTGGTTTCTCTTATCTGCAGTGTATTAATAGACACTGGTTAAATCCCACTAGTTACTGCTGACTCTGAATGAATACCACTAAAGTTACAGACGTCAGTTACAGTAAACTGATAATAGATCATTAATTATGTCATTAAAATTACTGTATGTACCCTGATTAACTCTACAGTATTTTTGGTCCAGCATTTTATAAAGAAATTGACTTTTTCAAGTTCAAAGTTTGCCACGTTACTAGTGTATAGTCTATAGCAGACATGGCCAAGCTAAGGCCCAGGGGCCGGATGTGGCCCGTTTAGCTTTTTAATCCGGCCCGCCAAATTTTTCCAAACCATATAATTTATCTATACTTCTGCCTTTTTGCTGCAATGCCCACGGTTCCCCAATAGATGGTGTAAAAAAAATGATAAAAGCATTTTAGCATGTATGCATGACTTTAACATGTCATTTGTCGTAGTTCACACGAGCGCTCCATCTATCTGCTCCTGACGTGGCCCCCCTGTAAAAACTTAGGACCAATTGTGGCCCGCGAGTCCAGATGTTTGGCCACGCCTGGTCTATAGCCTTTTTTTTATCCTTTAGCATTTTTGGACATAGACTTTGGGGGTCATTCTAACCGTGTCTAAAAAAATCAGTATTAATTATTGCCAGAGCCATATTTTAGTTTTGACTTTGTCCTTTCACGGAGTATCTTATGATTTTAATTGTGTGTTTTTTTTTATCTCTTTCTTTCAACTTCTCAGGACGATGCCCACCAACTCTTTTCCCTGTCGGCAGAAGCAGAGGAGCAGGGCGTCCTGCCGGAGGAGTTGTCCAACGTGATCCAGCGACTATGGGCTGACAACGGCGTCCAGAGCTGCTTTACACGGGCCAGAGAGTACCAGCTGAATGACTCTGCAGCTTAGTGAGTCCTTGGACAACACTGAATAGAATTCTGAATAGATTTTTTTTTTTTGTCGGAGCATTAACACTCACTCACTGCCGCAGGGTCAGTGAACACGAGCGTGAGTGCTGCTTGTTTTCACATCCTGTGGTTCAGACAGACACGTGAGGTCACCTCAAAACAACAACAGTGATCACTGCCTCCAAAACTGACTAACACTTATGATCCAACTCTACATCGTGCACAGAGGTGAACACGTAACTGTTCAAATTAACATATGCAGTGCTGTTAAATTATCACTCACATACATTAAACATTCACTGCCCTGCAGGGGGTGCTAAAAAGTGCACTTGTATTGCCCACGTCCATGACTTAAAGCACAGTGAAACACAGCTTAATTGCTTCATTGAGATTAAATCTGTTATCTCTGAGGAGAGAGAGAGGGAGAAGGGTGTGTGTCTGTGTGTGTGTGTTGAGTTTGGAGAGAGCAGCAGTCGCCCAGGGTGTGAAAAGAAAATCAAACTGGTACAGACACATCATTTATCAAGATTCTGCTGACTCAGCAAATCAGCTTCACTGTAAACTTTCACCCATCGTGTTTTTTGGAACAGTAGCCGTTAGTCATTAATTGGAAAACTTTTCACCCAAGTTCTCATTGCCAGCAGCATCAGGATGTCGTTTAGAGATGTGTGACATATACTGGACCACGGTGTATACTGTATGTAACCCAGTCCCTGAGTCCCAGCTGGGTTGGATTACATCACTACGCTTTTTTGTGGTCTTGATGAGTGACCCAGTTAGAATCCTCTAAAACCTCTGTGTCGGCCACAAAAACCTGCTAAAACCCCAACACTCTCCCTGTTAATTTGCATTACTGACACCTACTGGCTGTATTTTCCATAACGCCAGGGGATGGTACCGCACCATAGTCAAACAAATGTAAGGAAAACCTTCACTCCTACTGGTTAGGGTTTATTTAAAGGAACAGGTTCGTTAAACCTCCTAAGTCTAACGTTGTTAATTGTTGTTTATTTTGGTTTATCGTCATTAAAATACCACTTCAAACCAGCTTTTAGCTGAATATCAACAGAGAGTAGCTTCCGCTGTTAATAGAGAAGACAATGGGTTTTTTTGTTTAATCGGTGGCTTTGGCTTTTAAGACCTGTCACGCCGCTAATCTGCAGCTACAGAGCCCGACGCCAGCCACAGGTCTTAATTACCTCAACTGCCCTCATCCATGAGCGCTGTGTTTGTTGGCTATTGTTCTAATGGACCTGGGTCAAATAAAAAAGGAGAGGATGAGGGAATTGTGGGAGGCTGCTGCTGGTATTGCTGCTCTGAGGTGTAAGCTGGTTATCACTCTCGCCCTCAGGGGTGCGCTGCTGCTGCTGCTCTGAAATGAAAATCTAGAAAAAAGAGAAAAAAAAAAAGAAGCTAAAACAACAGCAGGAAGTGACTGCACCAGTTTCTGTCAGATACACGAGGTGTTGGACAAAAGTGTGACACATCCAGATTGTGTTACTAACAGCCAGGTGGGTGTTAAGTGTTTTACACGTAGTCGTTTTTGGAGCTGAGGCACACTAATAGGAACGGTGCTGTTCTCTGTAGGGGGGTGGGGGGAGGGGGGGTATTAGTAATGATGAATTCTGCCTCGCTGCTTTACTGCTCTCATTAAAGCCAGAGGGACCTGGGTGCCCACTGCTGAGAGAGCCTCATGTTGAGCAGCATGGAGAATGAATGTCTTATTGTGTCGCACGGTGAATTTAAATGTTGAGCTGGTGGAGAAAAAAAAACGACACAGTGTCACTGGACAATAATCCATGTCTGAGGAGGAACAAGAGAGAGAGAGAGAGAGACGAGAGGAGGGAGGAGAAAACGAAGAGCAACAAAAATGTCTCATCCTGAACCACACACACACACACACACACACTCACCCTGGGAATTAAGGATGTGACTGTGAGAATTTCATGAAAACATTTTTTCGCCCCCCTTTTTTTTTTTTTAGATACTTAATACGTAAAGAATTTTTAGGAAATCTTTTATCTTGACGTTTGGTGTGGATTACAAAGGCGTCTTAAATCTCTCTCTCTCTCAGTGAGAAACAGGATTCGGATTAGGATCCACACACTGAAATATAGAATCAAAACTTTTAGCACTGACTCCTGCAAATGTTTTATAAACAGTTAATATTTTCTTATGTGGCCTAAGAGAAAAACAACGCTGCCGTCGCTGCCTTTTTTTTAGTTTTATAAACAGTTAATATTTTCTTATGTGGCCTAAGAGAAAAACAACTCTGCCGTAGCTGCCTTTTTTTTTTTTTATTGTGTATCTATTAATATTGCAGGAGTTGAAGATAATAGCCCTGTGTTTATTTCTTTTATCAGGCTGAAAGGCACGATGGCCTGAGAAGCCGGGCTGCTTTATTTGGACATGTTACATGAGCAAACTCACAGCCATAACGGCCCCATCTCCTTATCTGCAGTATGGATTTAAAACAAACATTTTCTTTTTTTTCTCGAGCTAAAGAATATTGTTAATACCGTCCGGCTGAGCAGAGTCCACAAATTAGGTCTGAGAAAACAAGCGTCAGACTTTGTGGAAGGGTTTCCGAAGATCTATGAATTTGACTGATCGTGATTAGTTGAGATAATAGTTTGACTGATCGTGATTAGTTGCAATAAAAGTTTGACTGATCGTGATTAGTTGAGATAATAGTTTGACTGATCGTGATTAGTTGCAATAAAAGTTTGACTGATCGTGATTAGTTGCAATAAAAGTTTGACTGATCGTGATTAGTTGAGATAAAAAAATACATATTTTATATATGAATTAACTATTGGTTAATTTTGACTGCACTTTTTTACTTAAATAAAAAAAAATTTGTTTGTTTGACCACTCATTTCGACCACTGCAACATGACTTTTTTGGACAGTCTAATCTCAAAGTTAGTCTACTTGAATCTCATCTAATCCACTAATCTAATCTAATCTAATCTCTCTTCAGCTATCTAAATGACCTGGAGAGGATAGCCAAGTCAGATTACATCCCCACGCAGCAAGACGTTCTGCGGACCCGGGTCAAAACAACCGGCATCGTGGAGACGCATTTCACCTTTAAGGACCTGCACTTCAAGTAAGGCTTTTATGATCCTCCATCAGCCAACGACTACGTTCTATCTGTCAAAAAGAAAACACAACTTATTGCCCTAAGTCTGAGCTGCAGCAGCAGCAGTGGGGGGGCTGGGGGGAGGGGGGGGGTGTTGTTGTTAAACATGGTCTGGTGCAGAGTGATGAAGCAGTAAGTTGTAAATCTCTGGATTCAAACGGTGAGCTGGAACAAACACAAACCCTAAGCTGGCGTTTGGAAAAAGGTCCGATACAGTCATCAGCCGCTTCCACCGTGAGTTCAGCTGCGGCAGCAAGTACGTTCACTCAAGCAGAGCCTGAAGAACCCACTAACCTTCCATCATGTCATCATTCAGCACTTTCACAGTGGATACAGTGTGTACAGTATGTTGTCTTTCCTCCAACACTGGGATGTTTTTTTGTTTTGTTTTTTTCTTTTGGGTCTTTTGAGGTTTAAATAGGTTTATAACTCTAAAATATGTAAAAAAAAAAACAAAAAAAAACATGAGTCAGTGAAAAAATATGCAGTTTTTTCTCCATCATTTTTTGTACCAAGGACCGGTCGGCCGGTACCAGCTGTTACTGTGGACCAGTAATACCACACCATCGTTGAAGGATCATTTAATTTTCAAAATCAAACATCTTTTAGACTTTGACGTGTTGTTTAGAAACATTGACAGATTATTTTTGAATGAAGTAAATCAGTACAACTGAACTTTTTTATTGTGTCCCACTGTGGCCCGCTACCAAATGATCTACGGACCGGCACAGGTCCCCAGACCAGGGGTTGAGACCTCTGGTTTAGAGCGTTAATTAAGTAAACTAGAAACTAAAAGTCTGTAAATCGTTAATGCTTTGAACTGGAGAACAAAGGGAGTTCAGTCGTTCAGTGAACATTCAGTTTGTTAAACCCACTCTAATTAAAACGTTCATCCCGTCAAAACATTTCAAAGAAAATACTGGAACAGAAGAAAAGTTTACTCCCTGGTCACACGCCTCGGTTTTTGTTAAAAAAAAAACAAAAAAAAAAACAACTCTTTCTTGGCTCTGTTTAAGAAATGTGATAAAATGTGTGGAGAAAAAAAAAGTATTTACAGTTTCTTGGCTCTGTTTAAGAAATGTGATGTGGAGAAAAAAAACGTATTTACAAGGTTTCTATACAGTTTTAGTCAATGAGAAACGACATCATCTGTTATCAATCAGTGAGTAATAAAATACTAGACATTTCCTTCTTTTTTATGTAGTTGACTGGAGCTTATCTTAGTGCTTCCGTTTCCTTTAATCTGTGCTTTATTGTCATCACACACACACACCTCTATCTGGTGAAAAGGAAATTAATCAGCTGCTAAAGGCGTCTGGGGAAAAGCCAGTGTCAGCGCGGTGTGTACGCGGAGAGAACATCCTCTCGTTCGTGTGTTGATGTTTTATTTCCTAGTAGAAAACACACACACACGTGTTTGTTTACATTTAAGCAGCGTCCTCTGCTCTGATCTGCTGTGATATATTTCACTGATGTAAGCAGCGCCGGAGCAGAACGCTGAGGTAAACAGTCCAGGGTGTGTGACTGTTACGGTCGGCCCTGCTGCTTACTCAGCCTGGTTCACTTTAACAATGAAAAATCATCTCCAGGAAAAACCAAAAAAAAAAAGAAATGTGAAGCCGAACGTTAGAAAAAATATGCTGCGTCTGGTTCCATCTTCATCTTCATCTTCATCTCAGTTTGATTACCTCCATTTTGATGAATAAGTCGGACGTGTCTCTGTCACCGCCGTCCTCAGCCTTGTCTTAAGGACACCTGTTACCACAGCAACCACGCTGTGAGGAAATGTCAGTAAAGGCCGAGGAAAATGACAGAGAGCACACTGCCCAGGGCAGAGGTGGCAGAGGTGTGTTCACAGGAAAAGCCAGGGGGTAGGAGGGGGGGGGCAGAGGGGGTGCCTGTTTTTTTTAAGACTGAAAAACTCCACCATTTTCTCTCAAAAAACCGCACGCTCACGCTGTGTCAGTTTTTTTAAGACTGAAAAACTCCACCAGTTTCTCTCACCAAAACCGCACGCTCACGCTGTGTCACGTCTGTGCAGGATGTTCGATGTCGGAGGCCAGCGGTCCGAGAGGAAGAAGTGGATCCACTGCTTCGAGGGAGTCACGGCCATTATCTTCTGTGTGGCCATGAGTGCCTACGACCTGGTGCTGGCCGAGGATGAGGAGATGGTGAGTTAAAGTTAAAAAAACAAACAAACAAAAAAACAACCAACCTGAAGGGAGGTTGGTTTGTTCCCGTTTGTTCAAACCATTTCCTTCGTGTGTTCCTCGATATCTCTTTATCTCTCCACCTTTGTTCCCCGTCCCACTCAGAACCGGATGCACGAGAGCATGAAGCTGTTTGACTCCATCTGCAACAACAAGTGGTTCACAGAGACCTCCATCATCCTGTTCCTCAACAAGAAGGATCTGTTTGAGGAGAAGATTGCTCACAGCCCGCTCACCATCTGTTTCCCTGAGTACACTGGTACAGTAACAACACTGTCTGGGTGTCACTCTTGTACTTACGGTGGAAATGTTGTGCTGTCATGTCTTAAGAGCTCAGAGGAACTTGAACAGGATATGTCTTAAAAAAAACAAACATTTGATTTATTTTAATCAGTGAGGGAATAAAAAAAAGTCACACTTTTTTTTCCATCTTTTGGCTGAGTTTGATACTTATACTCAGCTGTTATTAATATATTAAAATATATAATTTCACATATTTGTTATTTTCACACTGACAGCCACTAGAGGGCACTCTAGGTTTGTGTAGCAGTATCTGCTACTCCTATAGCACTGAAAATGTACATATTTATATATGTTTTTTTTTGTCTTATTCATTGTGCATTTTCTGGTTGGTGCGACTTATAGTCTGGAAAATACGATAATTGGTTCAGTTTAGAAATTATCATTTTTGCCAGTTCTTGGGTTAAACACCAGAGCGGCTCCACAAGTTGAAATGGAAACTTACTTTATCCAGTACAGAATTAAATGTAGTTAATTTTTCAAGTCTGTTGTGGCGTTTTGTTCATTATGATATACTGTAGTGCTAACGGATCAATGGTCGGTTCTGGTGGAAGTGTTTTTGTTTTTTTTTAGAACAGGCTGTGGTCGATGGTCCAACAGCCTGGAGATGAATTCAACTCCATTTTCCTCCTCTTCCTCCACAGGGCCAAACAAGTATGAAGAGGCCCAGGCGTACATCCAGACCAAATTTGAGGACCTGAACAAGAAGAAGGACACCAAGGAGATCTACACCCACTTCACCTGCGCCACTGACACCAAGAACGTGCAGTTTGTGTTTGACGCCGTCACCGACGTCATCATCAAGAACAACCTGAAGGACTGCGGCCTCTTCTGAGATCACGGATGAGTCCGAGTCCGAGTCAGAGTCAGAGTCAAGGTGGGTTCAGAGAAATGATGACACTGTAAACACCGTGGAGTCTTGTTTGTTGGCTCATCTGTGTGTGTTTTCTTTCTCAGATTACTTGAACAGTTCTGATGACCATAATAATGGGGGAACACACACACCCACACACACACATGCACGCACACACACAAAGACTGCACTGGCCAACCACCGACCACAACTTCTGCTTTCTTCTGTTTTTTGTAAAAAAAAAAGGAAATAAAAACCTCACCCAGGAGGCTGACAGCTCCACAAGCTCTGCAGAATTCCAACTAATGCCGATCCAGCTGCTTGTATCGTTAACTCTTTTGGCGCCGACCGCAGAAAAAAAAAAAAAATCAACATTTATTTTGTCAAGTCTTTTGGTCCTCTTTTTTTTTTTTCCTTCCTAAATGTTTTTTATATAAATAAATTCATTTTAACTTTAGAGATTCTGATGTGCAAAGTATGATAGAAGCTTTTAATCACAGGCAGCGTATTTTTTATGAGATAAAGCACAGGCGTCAGCAAAATAAAATAAAAAAAAAAACAGGAATTGAAGAAAGTGCTTTTAAAAAAAAAAAAATGTTTACATGAGTTCATCTTTCATAGCCGACCGCATATTGTTCAGCATGATTAAACTTGGCAAATATTAGCTCTGTATTCTGCACCAATGGTCTAACATTCCTATAAAAACAACAACAAAAAAATATATAAAATGAAGAAAAAAAAACGCAAAAAAAAAAAAGCTTCACATGCAGACAGAAATAAAATTCTAACTGATATTTAAAGTATGTGCGTAGCTAATATTCTATCACTTTTTATAGTACTCTTGAGCCTGTCTGTTGCAGTATGTTTGTGCCTTTACTTCTGGTCACAGCCGACTCTTAGATTCACCTTTAGCACCGTCCGACCGACTGTTTCGCCTCTGTTTGTTTCTCTGCCTATAAAACCTTCTGAATATATTTAGTGATTATTAATGAGAGCTGAAAATCTAATTCAGACAAAAAAAAAAGAAGTGTAGTGTTTTTTGGTAAATATTAAAAATGAAAATTCCTATATGATTTAATTTAAATAAACGTAGAGATAACTTGACTCTTGCACACTGTTTTCTTTCTGTTTTTTTTTTTTTGTTTATGACGTTTTAATGCAGTATTGTTTTTGTTTTTTTTTCCCTTTCTGTTGTAGTGGAATATAAGCAGCGACTTCACACCTTAATCTGCCATCGTCACAACACACAGGGAGGGTTAGATTTTCAAATGTAAATACTACGGAATTNGGGTTGAAAAGGGACGTTGTATCACGGTGGAAGTGAGTGATCAGATTTTCCTGGAGCAGATGATTTCATTCTCGGAGGATGTTGATTAAACAAACTGCTGTAGTGTTTGGTTCCAATAAAAGCTCTAATACTCCTGAGTTGCTGACTGCACTTGTTCTGGTCACTTTTGTTACAACGTTCAACACTGTTTCGCAACTTTTGTTTACCTGCTGCCCTGCCTGACGGTTAGCTGCGGTGAATTACCGGTAAGTGAAGGACGCAGAGTGTCCTGTTTGAGGCAGGTTATCACTCAGGGTCAACGTATATATATATATATATGTAACCGGTGTAGCCCCTACAAAGTACACAGAAAATAAATATATTGTGCAAAATTAAATTAAATATGCTAAAAACAAGGGAGCAACAGAAAAACACTAACCTCACCCACAAAGTCCGAAGAAAGAGGGAGAGGTTAGATGTGAGTTTCTGCCCAGGGAGGAACAATATATATTTATATATATATATATTATAGATTAAATTTTGTCCAAACTTAATTTAAAGTTTTGCTAAAAGTGCTCGTACCATTGTGTGTGTAAAACTCATCTTACAAATGACCAGGTTTTCAAAAATTCACTGTTTAAGAGAACACTAGTAGACTTAACAACTCAGCTTCCGTTTGACGACGGATGTAAAGCCAGCCATTGCCGCCACCTAGTGGACACCTGGGCAGAAGCTAAATCCCCACTTGGATAATTTGAAAGGTTTGAATCGGGGCTCTAAACCCCTGGATTACCCCTGGATTACCTTCTGAGGTGTGGGAGTCTGATGATGTAATCACCCTGATTAAACGACCATCAGATTATTAGATTATTAGGCATGAATTAAAGAACGATTAAATCGATTAGTTGAGAAATCTAGGCTTCATTTCGGTTAATTAATCAAACACATTTTAGTAAATAGTGTCGACGATTTCACGAGTTTGTTTTTGTGTGTTCGTTTTGTTGTTTTTCAAACAGTAAAATCCTGGAAATCGTCCATTACGCTGATAGTGCACCATCCGGACACGATACTGTTACACGGTATGTTACAGAATACAATGTTATCGACGGAAACATCGGTTTACCAACTGAATAAACAGACGATTTCTTATCTGTTGTTTCTGTCATTAGTCAATTACATGAGTTCATTCAACTCCGGTCGCTGCTGCATTAACCAGCAGAAGTGAAGTGAAGAGGAGGGACATACAGTACAGGCCTGTATCAGGTTGTCCTCTAGAGGGCAGTGTTCCACACGGAAAACACTTGGTCCTTTTATTTGTTTTTGTTTTTTTCAGAGCCACATATTTTTTAAGGTTGCCATTTACTGCTTTTTTTTTTTTAATTTTTAATTTTGGTATGTCACTGGTCAGGTGTGAAATATTTTAGCGTTGTAGAAAATGGCGTTGTTGCCATTTACATTGGTAGTAATTCACAAATGCCCTGGCAGAGACTGGGGATAAAATAGAACGCAGTCACTGACCTGTAGTGATCCTTGGATTTAGGGGTTGATAAAATAACAAAACTGAAAATAAAAAATAAAAAATGCTCTGTGAAATATCTCCAAATCTAATGAACATTTGTTGTTTAAGGGGGAATTCACTAGTTGGAAGTGAAGGAGGTTTAAAATACTCCATGTTTAAAACACATTTTAATGACCTACTTTTATTAAGTTTACATTTTTAAAATCTTAGTATTTTCTGTTGTAGATGTTCAGTAGCGTTGACAGTAAAAATAAATGAATAAAGGAAACCCTCTACTGTGAGAGGTAAATAATTTACCGTTGGCCTTAATGGCCCCTGAGTTCCCCCTCAGTCTGGTGACATTAATTAAATCCATTAGACGATTCTGTCGGAGCAGAGATGTTTGCTGTAAAGGCAGAAACGCCTCATGTTGAAATAGTCAACAGGTCCATTAGCAGCCTGAGGTAATTACTGAACGTGCAGTGGAGAGTGGACGGGCGAGGGGGGGGGGGTCGAGGGAGCACACAAACCAGGTGGTTTGAACCAGATGCTGCAGCCTGTTTGGTTTTCCTGCTCTGGAGCTTGGATTTCAAATGAAAAACATTCATTTGAAATAATGGAAATTAAATTCCTCATCGACTGATTGGTTGAATTGATTAACCAGCGTTGGTGCGCTGCTTGTTTTTGCTCTGCGGTCCAGCAGGTCGGGACATGTCACGCCGATTTCCATGTCAATGTCAAAACGTCCACGGACGGAGAATCTGCACCTGAACAGTTCTGGATCATTCTCCAGCACCGACGACTCGTTAAACCGCCCTGGTGGTGTGAACGGCCGTCACATTAGCATTCACTCCACTGAATAGTGTGAATGCAAAACCAAGCACAGGCTGAGTGTGTCCACACACACACACACACACAAACACACACACAGGGCAGATGAGTACATTTACATCTGGCCATTGTGGAGACACTCAGACATTTACATTTACAGACAACTGTACGCACACACGAGGGCAGGACGTTAGCATCGGCTGGAAAACAGGGGCGACACTGGAGGAATCAAGATACGATACGATACAATACTATATGATACGATACGATACGATACTATATGATATGATATGATATGATACAGTACGATACAATACAATACAATACAATACAATACAATATATGATACTATATGATATAATACGATATGTTATAATGTGTACAATACAATACAATACAATATATGATGTAATATGATACAATACAATACGTTATAATGTGATACGATATGATACGGTATGATACAATATGATACGATACGATATGATACGATACAATATGATGCAATACAAATTTTTTACATGACGTTTCAAAACTGTGAATAACAACTTAATTTGAGGATCGATCAACTGTTGATCAATACACTGATGAAAACAGTTTAAAATGTGTTTACCATTTAATGATTAAATAGTAAATAACAGAGTAGAAAGAAGTGACTGTCACGAGTTTGGAAATGACCCAACAGCAGCAGAACCAAGTCAGGACTTACTACAGGTCGTTATTAGGACCTGGAAACATGTACTGGTGGACATTCCCAGTCATCCAGGTCATTCCTTGAGGTGAGTCCAGTTGACTTCTTGAAAAATTGAAGTTTAAATACGATGATAAACACGTCACATTTTTGAAATTCAAATGGAGTCAGAACATTTTATTTTGTGTTTTTCCATTCTCAGTGGCAGCAGTCGTACACACAGAGCTGAAGGCTCCTGTGAATGAGCCTGCTGCGCTCTGATTGGCTCCTCCAGACACATGTCCGTGTATAAGGAGGCGGGCTGAGCAGGACTGAATCATTCACTTGGTCACATCTGTCTGTGGAGGACAGAACTGCTGCTGACTGTGCAGCCACATCCTTCACCTCTGAGCAGGATTTGTTTTTTTTCTCTCTTCATCTGAAGGATTCTTACTTTATTCTTCCCTGATCTGAGGTGAGTGGCTTTTTAACAAACTGCTTTGTGATGCCTGTCAAGACAGGTTAACTTCAATGTGTTTTTTTTTCTTCTTCTTCCTTGCAGGAATTCCTTCAATTCCTGGAGTACACCGACGAGAAGGAAAGACATTGTGAGTTTTATTTCCTTACGTTTTTTTAAAGTGTTTTTTATGCAACTAAAAAAAAAAAAACTAAATGCACCCGAGGCCGATTGTCACTGATGCTGCTGCTGCGTCCTCCTGCAGTCATCAGTCGGAGCGCGCTGTCGTCATGCACTGATTACAAACACATGAGAAGAAACTTTTCCACAGCCGATGAAGAAATACTTCATTCTTTTCTCAATATGAATCACATTTCTCGCTGCGTCCGTGACCGTGCGCCTCGTGGCGACTTTCTCAGGGTCTTGCCACATGTAGCGGAGTAATGAAGAAACCAAAAACGGGGCAGGAGGTCCCTCAGTGGGCTGCAGTGGACAGACTGGGCTCAGCAGAGAGGTCACGCAGGTCAAACTGTCAGTGTCCGGGGCATTTTATGATGGATGACGTTTTTATGGCCACAGATGCCGTTTCTTATTTTCTTTTTTTATTTTTAAATCAATTTTCAGTCGAGTAACTTTGCTCATAAAAGTTTTAGGAAAAAGTAGAGAAGAAAAAGATTCAGCCCACCTTTTTTCCCCCCACTTTTCTCCTTTTATTCCCCCACTCTTCAACACATACACACTCACTGTCACATGATCTCTCCGGCCCCTCTTTGAGCAGCACACAGGCTGAATCTGACCAATCAGAAGAGAGAGGGAAAAAGTACAAAAAAGCGGAATAATAATATACCTCAGTGTGTCACTGCTGAATATCACTGGTGGGGGAGCGACCCCCCCCCACCCCCTTAAAGAGGCAGGGTCTCAGAGTGACCACATCACTTGGGTCCAGGTCTGTCTGTGTCGGTGACACTGATCCTGAGTCAGCGTCAGGCTGGGCTGCAGTGATGAAACGTAACAGACAAATTAATGTGTGGAAATCTACAGGCTCCGACCTGTTCCGCTGAGTCGTCCCGCTCCACCAGTGTCTCAGCTGTTGTACATGGAAATACTGCAGCTGGTGCATGAGCAATACTGCAATATTTTGATATTTCAAATGTACTCTTGTGCAGTATTTCTTACAAAAACTGCAAACTGGAAATTAGATGGATGGATGAGATCGAGAGATAGAACTTCTATCTTAGGAGTTCCCCTTGGAAAGAGATCATCAGTTTAAGACTCTTTCTTCCTTTACCTACATCAACCCTTGTCTCTAATGTCGTTTCTTTTCTGTATTTATATATTTTTTTCATCCGTGTTCCATTCTAAACCTTCTAAACTTCCCCACAGTGAATTCATTTTTTTTTTTTAATCCAGATCTCTTGGTCTTCTTGGTCTGATTTTCCTTGTCTTCCCTTCCCGTCTCTGCAGCCTTGCCTACGTGACTCCGGGGACTGTTTTCGCGGCCACATGCGGTACATGATGAGGTCACTGCAGGACCTCAAACAACTCCGCCGGACCTGCCCCGCAGAAGCCAGGAGCCCCCTGACCCCCATCAGCAGCAGCCAGCTGCCAGAGCTTCCGTACCACTCTGCCGTGGCGCGAGCCTGTCAGCGCCGGGCGATGCAGCAGGAACTGCGAACACGGCTGCGAATGTCCAACGCCAGCACGGCCTCTACCTACGACTCTGCCTGCTGTCTGGCGAGTCCCCTGGAGGAGGAGG